CTGTGGTGAAAACGACACTTCAGTCGCACAAACACCGCAACTCCTGCTGCGAGACAAATCTGGCTTCCTCAATTAATCGCAAAACCAAAAGAGTCTCACCATAAATGAGTGAAACCAAAAGAGTCTAATCGAAACTAGTGTTTTCATTTTTCTGAAGAGTGTGTGATTTCTATATATATTAATATATAATACAGAATATAAAAATTTGTTTCATAGTTTAAAGTTTTGTAATTTTGTTGGGTTTTTTGGCATATTAGTTTTTTTCATATATATTTCTACTTAGCCCATACCATCATATTTAATAATATTATTTCAAAATTCAAATTTTAGTTGTTTACTTGTTGTGATTTTTATTAGTTTTTTAATATTTCCATTATATTTTATATTTCTATAAAACATTTTTAGTTTATTTTTAATTACTTAAACTTCAACTTATTTTATTTCAGTTAGTTGCCAAAGCAAGATTTCTATTGCTTTTATCTAATAAAAAAGATATAAATATACATACCACACAATGTACAAAAAGTAGTAGGCAAGCGCTTCATTCTATGTAACACATACGGTGTTGCATAGACCTTGTGAATCCAGTTTAAAGTGTATAAGTTGATGGGCAGGATTCTTTGACATCGTAGGAATACTTTCCCATATCCAGTCCCAGTTAGGTTTAGAGGGGGTCAGTTCCTTTTCCCATATTGTAGTGATGGGAAGTGCACCGGAGCCATGATTAAGCAGTTTGTTATAAATGAATGACACTGAATTAATGTTACAGTTCCTCGGGACTCCATATGCACGCACTGCACTTTTCAACCTTAAATACAGAAAGTAGGAATATCCAGGAAGATTGTAACATCCTTTCAAATCATGAAATGACCTTAGGCCCTGATTATTAAAAATGTCGCCCAGAACGAATACACCTTGATCAGGCCACGGCTTGAAGACACCAAGCTTTTTCCCAGATTGTATAATATGATTATTCCAAATTGGGAACTCTGTTGTAGGAGGAGCTTGGTAAGAGATTAGAAGAACTCTACATCAAATTTACTGGGAGCATAAACCGAAACGAAAACGATTTTTAAATTCTTCCATGAATTATTCCCGAAACATATGTAATCCACCCATGTTCATCGCCTCCCGATTTCTCTATTAAGAATGGGAATCTTCTATTCTGAAGTATGGCAACTCCTCTCAAAGCATTAGTATGAGATAAGTAAGCTATGATTTTGAGAGGTTTAGACATCGAGTTACATCAGAGGCCCTAAGAAGGGATTCTTGAATAAGAGCTATGCCGGCTCGCTTACGATGTAAACAATCAAGGCATTTTGTTCTCTTTAAAGGGGAGTTCAAACCATTGACAGTCCACGAAATCACATTGAAGTCCTTTATCCTAACAGTACAACAGTAAATACAAACCTGAGGCACATGAAACATCAATGCCACCCCACAAAAACATAGTATAACCTGCAGCACGCAGAGAGATAAAGCACACTCTCCTACCTTCCTGGAAAGTAAAGGTATTCGAGGCCATGCACTTAAACTATGAGGCAAACCCAGATATCAACGTCCCGCTTATCCAAATGTCCATGACGGCAATATAGAAACTTAAGTCCCTACCAGTGTTGGGTAAGTTACTCTAAAAAAGTAATTAATTACACGTTACTAATTACATCTTCAACAGTGTAATTAGATTACTGTACAAATTACTCTCTCCAAAAAGTATTTAATTATTGAGTACTAATTACTTTCTAAATCCTATATCAACCTCGACAAGTTAATGATATGAGGACAGACATGAAACGGTTCTTTTAATTCTTTCAAATAAATAATAGATAACTACATACAGTAAATTATTCTGGTCACACTTTAGATTAGGGCCCAATTCTCACTATTAACTAACTATTAACTATGACTTTTGCTTCAATATATTCCAATTACTGCTTATTAATACTTCGTAAAGTAGTTGTTAAGTTTAAGTATTGGGTAGGACTAAGGATTTAGAATAAGGTCTTGCAGAATAAGACATTAATATGTGTTTTTTAAGTAATAATAAACAACCAAAATCCCAGTAATATTCATGCTAATAACCAACAACTTAATAGTGAGAACTAAAGTGTTACCAATAATCTTATTAACTCACCAAAGTATTTAAAGGAACACTCCACTATTTTTGAAAATAGGCTCATTTTCCAACTCCCCTAGAGTTAAACAGTTGAGTTTTACCGTTTTCGAATCCATTCAGCCGATCTCCGGGTCTGGCGGTAGCACTTTTAGCTTAGCTTAGCATAGATCATTGAATCTGATTAGACCGTTTGCATCTCGCTCAAAAATTACCAAAGAGTTTCTATATTATATAGATATACTTATGTATAGAATACTTATGCAATGTACTTATTTCAGTTTTTTATTTTTAATAAATTTACGAAGTTGTGACAATTCTGTTTTTGCTTTGTCAATATGGTGTATGGAGTGTAGATTAATGTGGGAAAAAAGTAATTTAAAGAAGTTTATCATAAGGAAGCAACATAAAATGTAAAAAAAATGAAGGGGTATGAATACTTTCGCAAGGCACTGTAGGTATGGCACTGGGTTTCGGTACCCAACCCTAGCTTTGACATCTTTTTCCAAGGAATCAAGTCGCATGGAAATCAATGAGATTTCCTCGCGAACGAACACAGACATGCTTAACTTTATGGTGTTCAGCTGCTTTTCTAGCATCTCAGCAATGGCGTCGTGAAGATGCTCGTCAGTTCCCGTTTGAATGCCATCTAGGATGATTCTTAAACAAAGAAGATGACTAAAAACTCAACCTAACTCTTAGCAGGGATTATTTAAAAGGAAAAGGGACATCTGAAGCGGAGCGCCGAAACACTAATGCATGCACATCTCACCACAAACATTTTTTAATAGGTCTAGTTAAGAATATCAACACCTCTTTCCCTCCATCAGTGTTTGATGATTCATTCACGTCTGAAGCTCAAACTGAATTTTAATCATCAGCGCTGGAGTTTTATCACGTCAGCAACAGTAATACGGCTCTTCCTCTCTCAAAGGCATCTTTGTACAGCTTTGTACGCACGCATGCACACACTCACACACACGCACACACACACACACGCACACACACACGCATGCATGCATGCACACACACACACACACACACTCACACGCATGCACACACACACACGCACTCA